TTTACCCATAGTCTATGGTGGTTCTGATGACTTTCTGATTTGCATAACTCATACAAGATACCAGGCAGAAGTAGATACACATTTTTTGAAACCCCTAGAGACATCTGCCCTCTCTAGCTTTGACCAGAAAAGACAGATCATGACACCAAAAAAGTCAAGATGTAGACACCAATTGATATAACCTGGCAGTGATCTTGTCTGGTATTTTCTTCAAAATTGCAGTTGCTAAATCATAGAATCACTACTGTATGAGTGCAAGGACCTAAGTTCACCCAATCCAGCCATCTTATATAAGTAAGGGCAGACTGGGGCTCAAGGAAGAGAAGTGTTTGCCAGTCACTGGGTTAAGTGGCTGATATAGGACTAGACCAGGCCCTGACTCCCTCTCAAAGGTTCCTCGACAGACTGAGCAGACTCTGCCCTGCACTCTGGAGCCAGGTGAGGTCCCCTGTGTCATTGGACAAGCCAGCACAATGGTACAGGTGCTGAACACACTGACAAGGGACTTTAAAAGCACAAAATGTTTTGTGGCATCACAGCCCCTGCCAGGCTTGCTGGTAGGTTCGTGTTTCACAGAGAACCCAACTGCAAGCATGCCACACCCATCGCCGCCCAAATCCCTCCTGAAACATGTTCTCACATGCACTATCAGAGGGAGTAGGCATGGATACAGCCTTTTAGAGGAGAAATTTGGCAGATTTTAATAAAATCTAAAGTCTATACATCTTTTCACCTGGCAATTTCACAACTAGAAATTTTTCTTAAGAATTGCTAATGAAAGAATGAAAAGATATATGCAAGACTATCTACTGCGGCTTTGTTTATAATAGCAAAAGTCACAAATAATGTGCACACTGGAATTTTAGTTACTTTGGGGCAGAAGACAAGTGAAAAGACTTCACTTTTTAACATCATTCACTTCTGTATTGTTTCACTCTATTATGAATATGTATTACTTTCATACTTCGAAAGAAGTAAAAATTAAAAAGAACAAATTCTTCTCTGATTTGGAAATATGTTCAGACCATGGCAATGCAAATCACTTTATTATTTGTACTGGTTTATATTATTAAAATTTTTATATTAAACAGATGTTGTTTTTACAGACATTAAACCTAGTATTAATAAATTCCTTCCCTGGGTTCCTACTGACTTCAAAATAAAGAAAAATGTCTCAGCCACTGAGCAGAGACAGCAGGTTGTCCCACATACCCATTGTTTCCTTCTTCTATACCACTAAACTCTTGACTTTAAGCAGGGTACATGTTGTCTCAGAATCCCAACTACAATTCCCAGCCTCCCTAGCAGCCAGGTAAGGCTATGCCATGTGACTAAGTTCTGGCCAATAGAGTGAGAGCATATGTGATATATATATATGTGCAACTTTTGGGTTGCAGCTTTAAAGAACATGGGTGTGCACTTACAACAAGAGAAATACAAATTAAAACTACACTGGGATACATTTTTCACCTATCAGATTGGCAAAAATCATAAGCTTGATGGACACTCTGTTGGCAAAATTGTGTGAAAACAGGTATGTTCATACATTACTTGTGTGAATGTAAAATTATACAATCCCTATGATAGGAAATCTGGGGATGTCTTTTTAAATGAGGATGTACTCTTTTAACCCTTTGACCTAAGAGGAATATCACTGCTAGGAATTTACCCTAAAGATAAGCCCCTCAGTAATACAAAAATACATATGCAGAGGGTTATTCATTGTGGCATTATTTCTAATTGCAAAATATTGAAAACCTGCCTAAATGCTCACATGTAGAAGGCTGATGGAGTAAACCATGGCCCACTCATACAGTGGGGCACTATGACGCTGTTTTAAAAAAAGTGAAGATCTCTATGAACTCGTATGGGGTGATATCTGAGATATATTGTTACGTTTTTTTTTTATTATTATAAAAGGGTATATGTAGTACACAAACATTTGTGTAAGAAGGGATGAATGGCATGGAAAGATAGGCAGTGAGACAGTAACACTACTTTGAGTGTACCTTTTAAAATAATTTTGACTCTAGAGCCTTGTTAATGTTCTACATATTCTAAAATTAAATTAAATCAGTAAGAATGAAGGGAACAAAATACAAACAAATAAATGAATCCAACTGTACTTCAAATAACTGATATAATGATAAAGACAGAAAAAGAGTTAATTCAAGTAGCTTTTAAATACAGTACTTTTTAGACCTACGGTCAATAGATAAAAAGTACTTTTAAAAAATCTTAAGCTCCACTGTGGTGACCACAGTAGACCTCCTTTAAGAACAACCTGTAGTGGGAGCAGTTAACAGAAGGTTTCCAGCTGCTACGCTTTCAGATCCACTGTGGCATGAATGCCACGGCCACAGCTACACTTGCCTAGGCTACTCTCAGCCACTGGCCAAGCATGGTAGGTACACTGTATCAT